CTGTCATCAGGTTTGTCGTCTTTTTTCGGTTTGCCATAGCAACTGCTAGCTTTGGATGAATTCCCATTTCAAGAAGTACCGACTACAGGGAACAAGGTAAAAACTTTATTGATCCGCCAGAGCGCTTTTTATGCTACAGTTGCCGTCTTGCTACAGTATGTTTTTACACAACAACGATTAGTTTGCATTTTAGCGAGAAATACTGCCTGACTGCAGGACTTGGTGTAAAACAAAAGCGTGCCACAGGCACAAAAGAGTCAAAGCCGTACGGGAGCGGATGAATCCAATATGTGGTTGCAATGGCAAAGTGTCCCACAGGCAAGGAGCTGGAGCTGTCACGGAGACAGCAGACCCGATCCCGATGCGTGGAAGATGTCATTCGCTACCTCTCAAACAGAATCACCAGTTCGCAGTGTTCCGTATGAGGGAACATGTCCACGGGCACAGCCAGACTTGGAGAAAAGGCGTCCCCCTGGAGTTTCCTCTTTGGGTCGGGTGCACAACAAAGCTCCCTGAAGTTCCTCATGGCCTCGCCCTCCGGCTTGCAGGACACGTAGACCAGACGGCGGATGGCGGGCTGGCTGCGTAAGGCCCGGATCACTCGGTGATGGAGACCGGCGCGGGCGGGGTTTACCACCGCCGCGAGACGCCCGTCCCCAGACCCCAACTGGGAAACGAGGCCGGGGAGGACCACCTCCGCCTTTCCGGCCACGAACTGGCACTTGTCAAGCCGGTTGAGGGCCGCGTTGTGTCTAGCGTCTTCCACCGCCTGCTCTACGAGCTCCACTCCGATGAGTCGCCGTACTCTGGGGGACGCCGTGATGCCCATGGCGCCTGTCCCGCAGCACACGTCGAGGAGAGTCCCTGATCCGTCTTCACGATTGGGGACGCACAAGTCTCGGACCGTGCTGTAGAGCACCTGAGCGGCGCTACGGTTCACCTGGAAGAATGCGTCCGGAGAGATGCGGAAGCTGAAGCCCAGCATCTGTCAATGACGGTCAAGAGCTACCGCTAGTTATTTCAGTATACACTGGGAGTGTCATCATGATTGATCCGTGTATTGCACTGTTTCCTGCTGTGGTCATTTTTTGAACGAGAGCTTTATGAAAACAAAGTTTTGTTTGGTTCTTAACATATATACCTAAACCAACGTGTAATGAAAAAAAAAGGACCCCACTTGAAAGGTTGATTGACACCCGGAAGGTGTTTGAAGAGAAACACTGCCACCTTGTGGTGTTTTGTAGCTACTGCTGGAACAAGTAAGTTGCATATCCGTCAACCTCCAAGTTGATT